GTTCTCATTGACTTTTGTGCTCGACTAAGTGGTTCACATATAAGATGAGGAGTATTCACTTCATATACTGGTGGAAAATCAGGCCTTTTGTGCATAATAATCACTGTATACTGGGATCTACTCAATTTTGCCACCGAATGTAATTTTCGACGTCCAAGGGCGCGAGATATCCAACGCAACATACCACCAATGTATTCAGCTACACCAGAGGACCTACAATCAATTATTACAAGGTCTTTGGTTGTAAGACGCGAGCGCAAGAGGGCGTCGATTGCGCGTGTTTCATATCCTGTCCTTGTTTCATATCCTGGGTCAGGATAGTATCCACGAGGGTGCAATCCCACAAGATCACAAAGTCACACCCAGGATTTCCCACGGGGAACCACAGTTGCCTATCCAAGGTTCTTCTCACCGGAGGTCACCCATCACATGCACAATCCTTAGTACTCACGCAAATCACCCTCGGAAATTAAGTAAAGAAATGGCATATTCTACATAGATTCTACAAGTAACATTAGATTAGATGGATCCGATAGTACTACACATAAGGTTGCGCCAAAGCACCCTGTCGGTAACCGTATACTACGTACGTACAAAACAGGACGCGCACAAGCAGACGTGTGGTGCACGAATCAGCGTGGCCGCACTCGAGGGGGCGGGGAGTTAATCCCATGGCGAGCACCGGCTTCGATGCGCGCATAGGACACTGTTTGCTGGGTCGGAGGAGGAGATCTGCATGCCAGGGTAGGCAGAAGAAGATATCCCATGTCAGGGTAGAAGGTTGCTGTCGGCCGCAGGAGGAAGCTAGCGGTCACCGCCGTCCCAACACACATCTCAACTGGTCCCCATCCCGCAGGCCATGGGAACTAACGCTTCCCAGCCGCACTTCCTTCTCCCCATGCCACAGCGAGAATTCTGAGCATTGCAGCCCCCGGATGGCCGCAAAGTGCTTGATGAGCTTTGGTACGGCCGTCAGAGGGGATACGGTGAACCGGTACGGCTCGTCGCCGTCGGGAGATGTGATGAACACTTTGTATTCAACGTCTTTCTGGTTCCTCTCCTTCTCTATCTTTGGCATATCGATGGGCGCGCGCAAGACAGGCGCCTGAGGGAGTGAGCGGGATTGTACAGGCGACGTCGTTGCAACAATGAACGAGGGGGATGGTAGAACAGGCGAATGAGATGGCTCTGATGAGCTTGACGGGCTCGGCAGCCTGTGGGAGGTTGCAGGGACATTACGCACTGCAGACAGCGTATGAGCAAACCCAGCATGCAGAACGCAGACACAACACACACCTGAAGCACGCGCCTCCCGGCTCTCGCACACAGTCACCCCCTTCAAAAAGGGCAATGCGAATCCCCAGCTCTCGCGTGTGAGCTCGATAAGCTCGCCCTCACACTCCTCCAGCTGGTCCGTCTTCAGCACGAGGCTTGCGCGCGGTATGCCTGTGTAATATGGAGATACGATGTCAAGAGCCTCCTGTGCAGCGCATCAGATTATGTCTGGCCATCGCTGATTCTGATAACACACCTCGAGGGTAGTGTCCAGCAGCGTCTTCTTCGGCAGCAGAATCTTGCGTTCGCCGTTGGTAACAACCAAGAAACGCGGTTCACGCGCGTATGGAGACGGTCCCGGCCGTGCCGTTACTTTGGACATGAAACTTTGTGTATAAGAGATGATGGTGGTCAAGGCAAGAGGCAGAAAGCGGTCTCGATCGCGATGTTGCCACTTCCAGATTGGGATTGAGCACGACGCGGTGTTTGTCCACACGTGACGACTGTACTCAGATCCAAGGGCGAGATTCTAGGGAAGTCTGTAAGCTCACAGCAAAAGGGCGCATTATATACAACATCCATGCGCCCATCCAAACAAATGACAGGGAATCAGAGAGAACAAGGGGGACGTGGCATTCAGGTATAAGACACGGCCTAGTCAATACCACTAGTCATGTATAATGCCCCGGTACCGCCAGTAAGTGTCAAAAGCGGGGTTCCCAGCAAGCAGATATGACTGGCGCGGAAGATGCTATATCTAAGACCTGTCCAGGATAGGATAGAACGAACGGAGAGGAGAAAAAGAATATGGGTAGAACACGAAAGAAGGGTCAGATAACGACGGCAAAGAACGCGCGTATGTGCCCAACAAAGCAGGATTTTAGAGACGCACCCTGCCACTTGGACGTGCCCCGATCGTGTCGTCGGCATCAGTATACCGCGAGGGCATGGGCCCTCCGGGTGGATTATCCCACAGACAACCTTTACAAGCTCAAGCAATGGGTGTAACATGGCCAGAGAAAAGATCACTAGTATAGAGTCCTTTATTCGATTCAAAGCTCGCTAGCACTTGCCAGTGTTTAGACCTCTAATTGCCACTGGCAGCGTCCTACTGGTAAGCCCTGAGCAAGCCACTGCTGTAGCCTCAGACTCCGATATGCTTATGTTGGCGCAAATAACCACAAACTTTCATGATGACCAAAAACAAAGTATTTCATTGACAGACTATCGTCCGCCAGCCAATGTGTCGTTAAGAGCTACGCGCCGGTCGTGCATGGAGCCGTAAATTGTATCGTAAAGGACGTGAGGTACATACAAAACGGTCCATGTCCGAGTCCAAATGAAGTAAAGAGGGCGCGTCGAAGAAGATAAAATAAAAAGAACACAATCACGACGACACCTTAAGCTTCTCGATAAGGCGCCTGAAGAATACCTTCTTGTGCATCGTCACTTCGACTGGCCTGGTAGGTTTAACTTGCACTTCAACATGCAGCGCCAGACCCAGATCCTGTCCTTCCTCCATATCCGGCACGTCTGTCTCGACATGAACCGGGTGTGTTTCCGGCGTGATGGGTCCCCCACTGTCGACGGAAGAGGCCAGTGAGCTACCCGAGTGTGCTGCGGCCGGCAGTGTAAGGAAACCGTTGGGAACACCAAGAGGAACGACCATCTCACAGCCCTCGTTGTCGATGGTGAGGCATCCAATGTCGACAGACGGCGTAGAAGAGAACGACCGACGCAGAGCAGCAGAATTCCTCGGCGAGTCAGTGCTTGCTAAGACGGGGCTGAGTTTGGCGGGGTCGGCGCACGGCGGGAAGAAGCTGTCGATAGCCGTGATCTCGCGGCGTAACTCAGACAAGGAGATGCGGGTAAGGGGGTCGACGCGGAAGACTCTCTTGAGGATGCGATTCGTGCCTTCGGAGATGGCGAGAACGCGCAAAAAGTAATCCTCGTCGTTGAGGTACGCCTTGAAGCAGTCGTCGTCGCATCGAGCAGCGTTCCATGGAGTGCGCTGGGTTATCATGTTGACTAGGACAACACCAAGAGCCCAGATATCGTTGCAGCGAGTGGAGTATGCGCGACCCTTGAACTTGAAGTCCCGCCCGATGCAGTCTGTAGTAAATGAGTTCAAGACAACAGCGCGAAAGGTCGGACGCACCAGGACTCATGTATTCGACACTACCACAGCGGAAGTCTCTGGAAAGGGGCACATCTGTCGACAGACCAAAGTCGGCGACGTATAAACTGGAACCGTCCTGGGAGCAGAGAATGTTCTCGGGTTTGATGTCGCGGTGGTAGACGCTGTTCTGGTGGCAGTACGAGATGGCGTCGATGAGCTGAAGGAAAGAGCTCTTGATGAGGTCATCGCGCTGGTAGAACACATTGTTCGTGACGATGGCCTCGAACAGGTCGCCGCCGTCGCAGAGCTCTAGGACAACGTAGATATACTCCTGTTCCTGAACGACGTCGATAAATGAGATGATGTTAGGGTGCTCGCCGACGCGCTTGTGATGGCGGAACTCGCGGTCCTGAAGCGAGGCGTCGAGAGAGTTAGCCTTGGGGACGCGCAAGACCTTGACAGCGTAGTAGATAGGATTGTCGCTAGGCGAGAGCGTGTCCAAAGAGCGATAGACTTTGCCGTAGGCGCCAGTACCGAGGCACTCCTGGAGTCGTAGGCGAAGACGGCCGGCGCAGAGGAGCTTGCCAGAAAAGTCGGGGAACGACTCGGTCGCGGGCTGCTTGGGTGCCATCGTGTCGTGAAGGGAAATGAAGAAAGGCGGGAGTAGAAATGTGGGAAAAGAAACAAAAAGGAAACGACTATCAAAGCCAAGAAGGTGGTGAAAGGAAGAAAGGGAATAAAGGGCGCTTTCTCCGATACGCCCGTATTTGTACCGCGCAATTAAAGCGCACGTGCAGAATCGATCGCCCCTCCGGACGACTTATCTCCGCGGCGTCGATGCCGGCGGGATCAAGCAATGCCAGCCACACAGGTTGCACACAGGCCTAACCACCAAAGTATAGGTGCATTGCATCAGTACCGGTACTGTACTGTACTGTACTGTACTGTACCCCCCGCGAGGCATAGGTCCACCCACACTCCAGTCTGCAATGAGGCTTGAGGCTTGAGCACTTGAGCGCCGAAAGCCTGAAAGGCTGTATTGTGATGGGCAAGGAGCCTGAAGAAAAGAACGTGAAGCAAAATGGTTTAATTGAGGATCGAACTCAAGACCTTCTGTGACCACGAAGTGTGAGACAGAAATCATAACCACTAGACCATTAAACCATGCTAGTAACATGCTTCAGTGTGTTCTAGAAATCTTAATGCGTGTCCATCATGAAACACATCGCTCAGCTAAGTGGATGTACATTCAGATGACGGCTCATCATCGTTCATCTTCAACCACCACCACAAGAAATGCCTTTTGACGAGGTTTTACTTTATTGTCTGGTCAAACGCATGGAGGCTGAAAGCAATGTCTAGATTTGTGCAGGACTAGCTACGGCGTGTTGCGAGGTATGCACTGGCTTCTGCTTGGACTTCTCAACCATTCGTTCGTTATTTCTATCTCCATTTTCATTGCCTTCCTTGCTGAAGGTATGCAGGGCATTCGTTCACTGAAACCTGCTGTTTGTGCTTATTCTGCCCACGCTGCGATAACGAGGACGATGACTCTGGAGATGCCGACCCCGCTCTACGTGCGAGGCGAGAGGATGATCAAATAAACGAACGCGCACCATTGCTGAACCCAAAGACTACTACGCAACCACGGCCCAAATCTCAAATGATGGTCTCCCGCGAACGTTCACAACCACTGGCTGGCAGTGACGAGGTTCCGGAGGCATAGAGAATGGGCGCACTCGGATATGAATTGTTGATGATATTGTGGCTGCTGGTCTGTGCATATGCAGGCGCTCTATGTTGGGCGGTGCCGATTGTGCTCAACTCGTTCAACCCGAGCATTGGATTCTAGCACTTTGAGCAATGTGAGGCGTTGTTTCGAAACCGGTCTAGATTCCCATATGACAACTGGGGGCTCCCGAGTTCGAATTCGTCTCTGCTTCAATGTACATACTGAAGTAGTACTCTAAATGTCTCCCTGTATGCAAGCACACTATTACTCATTCTGGCTGACCACATTGCGCACCCATAGCCAAGCCGTTTGCAAACGCGATGATCGGATTGTGGTCGTCATCAGACATATTTCTCTCCATCATGTCCTCACTGAATCCTCTAGTCCTTGTCGTAGGAGCCACCGGATACACCGGTAGCGTCGTCGTCAAATACCTCCTCGAGAGTGGGAACTACGTACGTTCCGATTCACTTGGCTAACGGGCGTGCCAAACCAACAATTACCAGCGCGTCGCAATTCTCGTCCGCGAGAAATCCTTGAACAAGCCTGCGGTCAAAGAGCTCACAGATGTTGGAGCGGAGCTTCGAGTAGGCGACATATCCGAATCTGAAGAAGCCATCGTCGGGCATCTGCAAGGCGTTGACATTCTGATTTCGCTCGTTCTTGCCATGGTTGACCAGAAGCCGCTTTTCCGCGCGGCGAAAAAAGTTGGCACTCAGCCGCGTGGTCCCTTCCGACTTTGGTCCCACTGCTCCGCGAGGGATAATGGATATGCACGACAAGGTTTGTGTCTCTGTCTCGAGAGACTGGTGATTGATACGGCAAACAGAAATTAGGCGTACGAGACTTCGTCAAAGAGCTCGGCCTTCCGCATACCTTTATCGAAGTTGGGTGGTGGTTCATCAACCTCCTTCCCTTCCCGCACGCGACACCAGAAACGCTCTTGTCGCCCAAAAAATACGTGGGCGACAAGCAGAAGAAGCTCATCATATCGACACTGCATACCATCGGTCTTTTCATCACCAAGGTTCTCACTGATCCACGCACTCTCAACCAGACAGTTGTTATACACGATGGCGAGATGACACTTGGAGAAGCGTACGCTCTCGCTGAGAAGACCACTGGCGAAGATTTCTCAGATTACACTAGGGTAAGGATATCCGAGTTGTGACGGCACCATTGAGCTGAAGCTATTCTCAGGTCCCCGACGAAGTTGTTTTGAAAAACATGGAGAGCAGCAACATCGCTGCAAAGATCTACTCCCAATACCAGAACAGTCTGTATCTGCGAGGAGATAATGTCCTCTCTGGAGCATTGGCACGGGGAGCGCTCGACGCGCGCGCCTTATACCCTGAGATCCCAAACCAGAACATGGAAGAGGAGGCAAAGAAGTACTACGAGAATCCACAGGCGTTGGAGTACGACCTCTCCGGGCTAAACCTATAAAGTTGGAACTTATATTCACCGCGTATACCAGATGGCATATGGCTCAAAGCATGAACCATTCAGTCATCCATGCGTCACTGTGACTGGCACACTAGCAGGATGCATAGACAAGTAAGCTAAATTAGCGCTGTGACACCGACATGCATAAGATCAGAATGCACGACGGCCAGCCTGCTCGCTGACGCCAGGTAACCGAGAGGCTAATTCTCCAGGGTGTCTGTCGGCGCCTCTGGAAAGCCTACTTAAACGCGGTATGTAAAGACTTTTGTCCTTATACCATCATGTCACTAAGAAAGGATCTCGTACTTGTCGTCGGTGCTACTGGACGCACGGGAAGTGTCTTGGTGAAGGAGCTCATCAAAAGTGGTGACTTTGTACATTTTTCCTCTTTGGAAAGGCTTTGTACTAATCTGTACTTACAGCGTGTTGCAATTCTTGTCCGAAAGGAATCTATCGACAAGCCACTCGTGCAAGAACACATCGAAAATGGCGCAGAGCTGCGTGTTGGGGACATCTCCGAACCGGAAGAGGTCATCGAAGGATACCTGCGAGGTGTCGACATCCTTGTCTCCCTAGTCCTACCAACAGTCGATCAGAAACCGCTTTTACGTGCAGCAAGGCAGGTTGGAACGCTCAGTCGCGTTGTTCCGTCAGACTTCGGCCCCATGGCACCTCGCGGTATAGCCGAACTTTGTGATATGGTCTCCGTTTATCCGACTCTCCACTCGTTCAGGAAATTCTAACACGACTAGCAGAAAAGAGACACACATGAATTCGTGCATGAACTCGGGCTGCCGTACACTTTCATTGAGGCTGCTTGGTGGCAGAAGATGCTCTTGCCTCTTCCTCAGAGTTCCTACATGACGAAATTCTTACCACCGACACAAAAGCAATCAGCGTATGTGGGCGACATACACAAGAGGATTACTATTTCGACTTTAGGGAGCATTGGTATCTTCACTGCGAAGATTCTTGCAGACCCTCGTACTCTCAACCAAACAGTGCTTATTCATGACGGCGATATGTCCATTGCAGAGGCCCATGAACTCTCCAGGAAGGTTACTGGCAAGGATTTCTCTGACTGTACTCGAGTGAGTTGTAATTAACGACATCTGCATGCATACTACTAACTGGCCCCAAAGGTCCCCGACGATGTCGTTTACGAGACTCTAAAGAGTAGCGACTTCTTGGTTCGACTATTCGCGCAGTATCAGCATGTCATATACCTCCGGAACGACAACGATCTCTCGACGCTCCCTGCTCGAGGAGTACTTGATGCTCGAGAATTGTATCCCGAGGTCCCTCCTCTCGATATGGAGGCGGAGACGAGGGATCGCTTCGAAGAAGTGGGTGTCCTTGGAATTTGACTAAACCATACTTAGCTTGGAATCATGATGGTAGTATGTGCCAATCAAGGACATTTTAAGAAGACGGGAAAGAGCCTAAGCGCTGAAGCGTTGAAGGCTTGAACAACTTCCTGATAACGGCATCGAGGATCCTAGCAGTAGCCCGTTAGACATTGGGATTTTCCCACGGTCAGGCTACACTGTGGCAACTGGCTGTCTTCGCCCGCTACTCCCGACCCAAAGAGGTTGTAAACAAAGTCCTGATTCCCGAGAAGATATTATTATCAATGCGGTTATGGTCTGTTCAAACAGCGTGCCATACTGAATTCTGAGATATGCCTCACTCTGTAAAGATGTGCCCGATGCAGTGGACGTCGTGACACAGGCATCGATGCTGGTTGCAGCCCACTCACTATTGGGCGTCGGTTCAATGAAACATTGTCGCACCCATGTCCTCAACTCAGACCCTCATACGCTATTGTGTTCACACAATAGACAATACATGCTGACTGGAAGGAATACACCTCGTTCTTGCGCCCAGCCTGGCATGACCACGAGGCGTGTTGGTGTCTATTGTGAGGCCACACAGCTAATTAACCAGACATTTTGTACTTAAGGATACAGACACTTACTACCATGTCAACATAACGGCCTACCACCACTCCCTCCCTCTTTCCTGTCCTTATCCCTTCCCTTGCATGACCCTCAAGTCATCCAAAAGGATCGCTGCCTTGTATAAGAGCTTGACTGTCGATGTTAGACCTCTAACGTCGATAGTCAAGCCCTTGTACACGGCAACGGTAATTTTGGTCGGCCGTTAGCAAAAGTTGCTTGAAGCTCTGTTCCTCTGTTTCCATACGTGTTACCAAATGCTGACCAGACACCCATACAGGCCTCTAATCCACTCCTCCCGGATTGGGAGATTTTTGAGCTCGCAAAAGACGGGTGTTTGTGTGTGTATTAGTGAAGCCTGTATTTTACTTGTTCCATATATGCCTATAAATTAGTTGCATCTAGTAACGCTCTTCGCGCCGGCTACGACGCTCGTATCCCTGATCTCTGCGCGCACCATACGAACGGTCTTCACGGTCTCCCTCTTCGCGCTGGCCATATCCACGGCTACGCTCTTCGCGTTTGGCATAGCCACGGTCCTCACGAGCGCGATAGCCACTGGAACCCCGATCATCCCGTCTGTTGAAGCTACGAGACTCATCGCGTCCGCTGCCTTCACGGTCGCCCCAGGACTTGCGCTCCCGGCTGCCACCCTCGCGTGTCGGGAAACCACTGTCCCTATTGTACTTGGGCTCCGACGATCTACCGCGTCTTGCCCAGCTCGATGTATCACGCTCGAAGCTTGGGCGGGGACGCCTTGAGTTCGGGGCCGAAATTCCCAGCGACTGGATGAACCCTGCTGAGAATCTGGGAGCCTCGGGCATACCGCAGGCCTCGACAGCCCAGGTGCCTAGGCCGGCAAGAATGACCTCCTTGGTGGTGCGAAGCTCGGAAGACTTGGCAATGTAGTATCCCAACGATGCAAGCACAGTGGCGCGCACAGCTTCTGGGTCGAGTCTACTAGTCATGTTGTCGATGGTCATCTCGAGCTGTTCGAGAACAGGACGCATGGGCTCAGTGTACTGCCG